GTTATTTGCACGTGGCAGTCACCGCCATTTCCATCTCTTGTTTTTCATGCATATAAACCTGTTCGACGCATGCAAATAATATAAGTTACTGTGTCAGCGGCAACAGGTGAAATTGTCGCCCCAAGTCCACGCTTTTGGATCCCGATCCCCATCCCCATCCCGATCCCCTCCTCTTTATCATTTTTTTCCAGCCAAGTCAATGTCAAGTGTTGCCTCGGCTGACTTACTACAAAAGTTAATTGCACTGCACGCGCACGCCAAAAGGTAAAAAGAGTCTCGGGTCTCGAGTCTCGAGTCGCGAGTCTCGACGAAAGGCTCCCAATGCCCAGTAAATCCAGTATCCAGTGTCCAGTAACCAGTGCCCAAATACGCAGTATTCAGTACCAATCCCATTTCCAGACCTCAAGACCTCAACTTAAGGCTCGGGCCACGAAGCGCGTGTGTGCAATATCAGGTTTCCCTGTCAATTTGCACAGTGGTTGAGAGATGTGCGAAAAACTAGCTATTTTAAATTCATAGAACCAATATATTTGTACGAAAATGTATTTTATTATTTATTTATTTAAAGCTTTAGGTACTGGTTAAAAAAAACAAGAAAAACTAATTGAAAAGTCAAAAATATTTTTATTTGTAAATGCAAATTATATACAAATGTGTACCACAACCTATATATATTTGTAAAACTTTTAAATATTACTTAAAAACATCTACGTTTAAGCAATTTTTAAAATTTGTTATTTAAGAAATGAAAGATGCTTGAGAAAGTTAAACTCCAAAAATTTCTTATATGTGTTTGAAATTCTTTTGCATCTTTGACAATTTGCCCACTGTGCGGGGCAACTGCCACCGTGGTTGTCATTAGTCCGCTGCACTTGCTGTTGTAATTGTGACAGGAGCAACGAGCACGGATCGCTAAAGGGTCGATCTCCGGTTAAAGGTGCACTTGGTCACCTGTACTCCCGCGGGGGGCTTTCGATTGTAGGGGGGCTTCACTGTCCACTGTCCACTGTCGACTTGCGGGTTTTCTGCTGATCGTGAGTGCCAGAAGCTGATTTCAGCGCGGCTACCGATAAGCAACCGCTTCCAAGTTGCCTCCTCTATATTTTTGTATTTTTATTTTTATTTGTATTTTTTTTTCGGCTTTGACAGACGCGTTGATTGGTTTTGTTGGGCGGTACGGAGAATGCGGAGTGCTCTTGATTCCATGAGACATGTAAATTGCTGAGAGCTCTGCCGGAAAATACAGAAACTGGTACAATTTTTGTTCGATCATTTTTTTCGGTTACTCTTGTTGTTGTTGATTGTATTTTGTTGATAGTCATGCTGTGCCACGCCCCATGCCGCCCGTATTTGACAACTTTTTGCATAATTGCAATTGCCAGCAGATGAAAGATGAAGAAGAAGACCGAAAACACGTGAAAAAATTACTATATAATGAGATTTTTTTAAGTATAAAAGAAATGAGAATAGTTCAAAGTGTAATTTAATGGGAAAAAAAAGAATAAAGGAATAAGAACAACTAAAATATATATTAATAAAACAATTTTGGAAATAAAAGCCAATTTATTTAGCCTTACATTAATATATATATATATTTTATTAATATCAAAATTTAGCATGATCCAGTTTATGTTGCTAGTAAAGAAGTAATTTTCAAGAGTTGAGACCCTGAATCTGCTAGCTTTGATTATTTTTACGAGTGTTTCGCAGCGAAAAGAGCCGCTTGATGGTCGAGGCCAAAAGCCGTGAACCATTCATAAATTTCGGACCAACTCATAAATACGGCAGCAAAGGCTGTCGAGGTGTTGGCCTTACAATCTCACGCCGTGATGATGCCTGAAAAGCGAAATACCCCAGATTTCCTCCGCCCTTTTGCCTGATTTAATGCAATGGCAAAACAAATTATTATGTTGGGGCCGCTTGCTGCCCGCAATTAATCAAAGTTCTCGCATTACAATTAATCAAAAATCGCCATTCTTCTTCGCTGGATTTCTGGAGGTGCCAGGCAGCCAGCCTTTTGCTCCTGGCCATAAATATTGTTGCCAGTTGGCGATATACGGCATTGGCCAAATAGAATTGGCGGCGTCAAAACGCTTACCTTAGATGTCGCACCGATTCGCTGACATATTCGCATTGCTCCCATAAATCAAACATATATATATATATATATCTATAGAGTGGGAGTAGGGGCATCGAAATTGAGAGCGGCTTTCGTCCTTTCATCCTCGATGGAGCGGTGATCAGGCGGCAATTTGATAGCCATGAACAGTTGACAGTTGACTTTTGATTCGATCAGCAAAAGGAATAAGATGCCATGATATCTAGGCTCCAGATTGAGACAGAAGCGTTTCAATCCTTTGTTTTTTTCTTTAAGAAGATAACAAATATTTTAAATCGTTTCCTTTTTGCATTAATTGTAACCCAAATAATATATTAAAAACACACATTTTGTTGAGGTTTAAATAAGCTCTGATATTTATATTCTTTTAATTTTATTCACAAAGTAAAAGTTAATTAGCTGCACTAACCGCGTAAGATATTTTATAAATAAAGCCGAAACTGATAGATCAGGAAACTTAATATGATATTTTATACAGACTTATATCCGATCGCTTTTTAAAATATATCTTTAAATCGCCACCACTCTGTACTAAAAATTAAACTTCAAGTGAGCGTGAGCCAGCGTTTTCTGGCACCGAAAATGAAAATGGTAGAGTAATTTTAATAAACTGACCTTGCATCGCAAAATGCTACGGAAGCTGTCCTTTAATCGAGGCTTCACTGTGGCGAAAAGGGAGCCGCTTGTACGAAGTGTGGAAAAAATGATGCGATGTCAAGTTATTGACAGGCCGAGTCGATATTAATGACGACTTCATCTTCATTCGCTGGAAATGCCATCCCCAGGTTTTTTCGTTTTGCTGTCGCTGTGTCTTACTAGCAATTATTGAACTAGTTAGTCGGCCCCAACACTGAAAACGCAGACGATCCGCGGCGATTCGGTTCGAGTTCAATTATGATCGTAAGCAAAGCAGCAAGCCAAAAAGCCAAAAGGCAAAACCCAAAAGCCACGACGTACGTACATATTTAAGCCAACATGTCAACATAATTTATATTAAATTTTTGTGTCAGATAATGATAGCGCCTCCTGCTGCCGATCGCCGATCGCCGAACTTCGATCCTCGCACAAAATATATCTGCATGAGGCTGCAGGCCGAACTGTATATAATAAGGGGCATGAAAAACATGGCAGCACAAACCGAAGATTTAAGTTCTCTTTTACATCTTCAATATAAAGGTTTTACTTTAAATTAAGTTTAAATTTATTAAATATTTGTGGAAATTGTAAAGATTTGAAGCATTTAAATTAAACGTAAGTTTTTGTTTCTTAAATCCCTTGAAATATTTTGTGTTTCTTTTTTGTTGATGAATAATTATTCTGCTTATTAAATATTTTAGCTTAAAAATACAAAAGTTATCTTCAAAGAGCCACAGAATTTTCCCTTTCTTTCAAAGAGCCACAGCGAATTTCTATTGCATCAACATGGATTTTGCATGACGACCGGATACGATCGATTCTTTCGACTCTAGGACATCTGTTCAAGAATCGGGGATGCCCTGGGACCTGTGTCGTCGGATGTCCTGGCATATGCAATGCCCTGCAATCCCCCGCGGTTGCAGCAAAACGAAGTGTTAAACGAGGCCCAGCGTGGGTTAGTGCCAGAAATGGCAATTCAAATCCATTTCGGCACGGTTTCCTAGCGTGCAACCAGAATCCTCCAGCGGCGATCGGTGGACAATGGTTTTGGGAAACACTGGATGAACAGCCTCTCCTAAATGCTTTCGAAATGCTTTCGACTTTCGGCCCAGTGGAAATCCAACTGCTACGATGGGCATAAAGGACCCCGGGGCATTAGGAGTGTTAATAGAAAAGTGCCTCTGGCCGATCAGGTTTCTTGGCATGATCCACAAGATCGGATGGGTCACCGTTTGAGGTGTTGACGAGTCGACGACGGCCTTGGAAGGTCATAAAACTTTGGATTCCAGCGGCACAAGGTCTAATTTGCAATGATTGTCAAATGCCTCAAGAGATCAGAAGGTCATCGCTAAGGACAAAGCATTTTGCAGGTTTTTATCTGAAGCATTTACTAAAGAGCTGGGTTTTCAATGATGAAACTGCCTAATTTTTGTGTATCTAAGCTTATATTTTTAGCATCTTGCTTTAATTAAGCGCATTGGTACTTTATTTTAATTTAAATATTAAATATATATTAATTTGTATTATTTGTAAATTAAATATATTAATTTGTATTATTTGTAAATTAAATATATTAATTTGAATTATTTGTATTACTTTCCCCCTTGCTTTAGTCAATAAATAAGACCATGAAATACACATTACTGATCATAGTGATCATAGGATGAACTAAGTCTATATAACAGTTTAGTATTTGATATGTTTAGACCCATTGATTTATTGTGACTGAACTATTGGAGTCATTAAAGCTGGCTGGCCACTTTCATTAGGAGCTGGAGCTCCTTTTCCGCAGAGGGGTTGTTACTGGGGTCTTAAGTCTGGGGTCTGGGATATGGGATCTGGGGTCTGGGCCTTTTTCCTGCTTTTTAAACCGGTTGGCAGCCGGCACGCGACAGAGCCGGGTTTTGCGTTTTGGTTTGCAGGCGACAGGCAGCTGAAAGTGGGCAAAAACCACTCGGAAGAAACTCTTCCCACTCGAAAGAGGGAACACTCGGGCCGAGGGCAGCTGCAATTTGCGGAGAGAGAGAGAGAGATTTTGCTGCCTCCTGCACTCTCTATACAAATCAGGGGAAGAGACTGCGCTCAAGAGACGATCCTTGAGTGATGATGATGCTGTTGCACCTTTTTCTCGGGGTGGGGGGCAGGTAGATGATAATAACGCAGGTGAGATCCCGGTCCCTAGGCCCTGGAACCCCTATAAATAGCCCGAACGGAACGGGGAAGGGCATCAGAACGGAGCCAGTGCTCAAGTAGAGACCATCCCAGTCACTAAATCCCAACGTTATACACTCGAAATCCCTGAAAAAAATGGCTCTGGGCAGCGAGAATCAGTCCTTGTTCTACGACGACGAGGAGGAGGCCACTTCTCCGGTGAACGGGCCCTCCGTCATCCGGCGGAATGCCCGGGAACGCAACCGTGTCAAGCAGGTCAACAATGGCTTCAGCCAGCTCCGGCAACACATTCCCGTGGCCGTCATTGCCGATCTGAGCAATGGTCGGCGGGGAATCGGTCCGGGGGCCAATAAAAAACTCAGCAAAGTCAGTACCCTCAAAATGGCCGTAGAGTACATACGCCGTCTGCAGAAAGTCATTGATGAAAACGACCAGCAGAAGCAGCAACAGTTGCAGCAGCAACATCAGCACTTCCAGCAGCAACATCATCAGCAGCAGCAACAGCAACAGCAGCAGCAGCAACACTTCTACGCCTGGCAGCAACAGTTGCAATTGCAGTCGCCCACTGGAAGTGTGAGTTCCTGCAACAGCAACAGCAGCAGCAGCAACAGTTCCTATTACACACCAGCGACATCAACGATCGCACCAGCAACATCATCTCTGAATGTCGTCACCAAATTGGAAAACAGCTATGAAGACTACCGCAACAATTCCTGCAGCTCCGGTGCCGAGGATGAGGACATCCTCGACTACATATCCCTCTGGCAGGACGATCTGTAGGGATCTCGACACCGACATCCCGACATTCCCTGCAATTGCTAGTCGCACCAACCATCAACAAAACACAACGAACCATTGATTGGCCAACAAGTATTACCTCAGCCACAAGTATTACCACAACACCACCTTTTTTTTTGCCTGTACAAATTAGTGCTTAAGTTTTTATATAGTTTATAAGACTAGCCTGTAAATGGAAGACAATGTACACTTAAGAATCTCTTTTTTTTAAAACAAACATGGAGGACATTAAACTGATAATTATAATGAAATATTTATTGAGTTTTCTTATGGGCAAATTGGGTTGGAAATTTAGGTTTGAAGGAACTAAAAATATGATAGGACATTATGGTTTGTATACCAAAGAGTTATTTACAAAACGTTGTTATTTGTTAATAACTTGCATTCCAGACATTGACATACAAAATATACAATATAAGAATAATCCAGAAATGATTTTTGGTGCTTAAGATTTTTTAATGCATTCTTTTTCATTTCTCTTTTATTATTTTTCATGTACTTACCTTAAAAAAAATTATTTAACTGCCTGAAAAAAACCAATCAGTTTCTGTTACCGTTAAGTATTTACAGATCGATACCTCGAGAGTAAATTATCCTAACAATTTGTCAGGACTTTTGTTTTTGGATCGAACAAGCAACTTTGCATAAATAAAGTCGGATTGAGTAGGGTGAAAAGAAGCCAAGTAATTTATTTGCCGCATTTTTGCATATGGCCAGGCAAAGTTAATCAGAGGCTGAGTGCCGACAATTCCCAAGCGATCGATCGATCGATTGTTGAACTAATTTTGAGTTATTCCAGCAATGCAGGCAAAACAAGAGGCAAAACACGGGTCGGCAATTGTTCAGATCGCCCCCGACAAAGTTAAGAAACAGAAAGAATCTGCTGGGGTCTTCTGCAACGGAAGCTGTCGCGATGAACTTGCCACAGATAAAATACACACAACTATACACATATGTACATATAGCAAGCCAAATACCAAGCGACATTCAACTTGTCCATGGTATTTTCCTATGCGTTTTATTTTTTCCATTTTATGCATCCCACGCGCATTTCCTGTTTTTCCCCTGCAATGGAACTCATTAATAGATCAATGTATGCTGGGGATACGCACTTCCGTCAATCGGGACTTGTGGCTTCGGAACTCTCGACACGGAGGCTTTGCAACTGATCTCCCGTTTCGGCCAAGTTTCCATGCCAATCGATTCGCCATGCGGTGCAAAATACGAGCGGTCAATTCGAACGGTGCTGCACAGGGAGAAAATAAGGTGTTTAATAAACCAAAATCAATTCATTACTTGCTATTGTTTAACCGGATCTCAAAGATGTGTACCTCTAGACAAATTTGGAATGGAATTTATAGTTTTAATGATGAATATTATAAAACTACACGAATAAAGCTTATAAATTTTTTAAAATTCAGAAGATTTGATCATGATTTCCATTTTTAGATGACAGATGATCTCTAAGATTATTGATGTTTATTAGTACTATTATAATTAACAAAATAAAAATTGGTTTAATTTCCAATGACCTAAACCTTTGTCCAATAATAATCTTTCAAAGAATCACATTGAATTTGGGGCACTGTTTTTTTGTGGGGGCAACTTTGGAGCGGAGAATCGAACGGTTTTGGGGCCCACAGCCCTCTTCATGGCGCATTTATCGAATTATTATTTCCGGCGTTTTTCCTGTTTTTGCATTGCATATGCGAAACTCTTTGGCCCTGGCACTAAACCAAAAATAAAAAGGCAGCCAAGCAAAAGGATTCTCCCAGCGAGGGAGAGATGGTGATTTCAAGAAAAGCAAAAAGGTTGAAGGGGGTTGCCCTCATCCATTGGCGGTCTCAATGGGCGACATACGACACAAAGTCTCGGCGACAGCAAACGGTGCAAAATCGAACGCTTTTTGTGTGAAGTTAATAATACGTTTGACATGGCCCCGAAAAGGGGATCGATCGCAGAAATATATGCAGAAATATGTAGCAGATCGCTCCAGATCGCCCGTGGCCGCTTGAAAACCCCAAAGGGGTATTGGCCGCACAAATATACCCCTTGTTCAGGCAGTTTATAGGGGTATATTGGATGTGTGCTAAGGTACGTAACAGTAAAGTCCCCCTTGGTATATACATATTCAATATGATATGATATATGTTTGTCCCTTAGAAACTAAAGTAATTGTTTAAACTAAACTCACATTCTTGTGTTAGATAAATGTTTTTGTATTATCAAAAACAACCATTATTTTCAAGAAAGTAAGTATATATGGTGGCAGTAAAATTATTATTTATAGATTTTCGACTTAGCATGCTAACATTATTTCTAAGCAGTGCAATCGATTTTTTTTAGAAGTTATCAGCTATCCCCAGCTGATACTTATATTTATTTTAAAATTGGTTTGCTGAGTAAAGGATATCGCATAGTCGAGACACTGGACTACAGCGTTTCGCCTTGTATTTTATGCTCGGTACAGGGCGCATTTTACATGCAACGCCGGGCGAATAAATTTATGATTTATTAAGGATGCTCTGATTACAACACAACCACGGTTCCAGACACCGTCTGATGCTGACTGATGTCTCGTAAATAACTTCCAGGGAGCAACAAGTGAGTTATTTGTTTAACATGGACGCGACTTTTTGACTCACAAATGTTGACAAAGAATAATGTAATTTATGTTCGGCCCTGACATCTTTCCAGGATTTCTCCGCAGCGAAAAAAAGGGGGAGAAGCTCGCCCATCATCCTTCAAAAGAGTGCCAGCGATGTCACCGCACTGTAATTAGAGATATTCGCACCGATAGATACATATGTATCTTTAGTTGGCCCCAAAGATAAAAAACAGAACGCCGACAATAGCTCGCGTGTACAATTGTCCACGTAATTGTGATGTTATGTAACTTCTTGCGAAATACAAGTGCAACGCGGCAAGTGAGACAATGGAAAACCGAACCGCTCCTCCATTTTCCACACACAAAGGTGCACTTGTCATTGTTACAGTTTCCCGGGTTACCCAACATCCCTGACCAACTGGAAAATGTTCAATTTCCCGGCCCCGGCAATTTAAAACGCCCACCAAACTAGATATTTCCCAAAAGGATCTCCTGTTGCGTGCGTCTGCGTTTAAGGATCAAAATTGAGTTCTGAAGTTTTCATTAGTTAAGCTGATTATACTTGACAATGCAGCTGAAATGAAAATTGTGCGTTCTGGTCCCTCAAAGTACGTAATTCATAATGGGCACCGATTCAACAGGATTATTCTAAGGGTGCAGTATCATTTGCCGGCTATTAAAAATCATTAAAAACGAGAGCACAAATGGTTCCAATAAAACTATCAAAAGGGATTAGGATTTTGGGTAAGAAAATGAACGCTACACACTCGTTATTATTAAAAAGGCTTTTTAAAACATTAAATACAGTTTCAAATTCATTAAAAAATAGAGTCATGACTCTTCCTTTCTGGCATTATCTTTCCTTAATTACCAGCCCAAAATGTCTCAATTCAACCGCGGGGCTTTCACTTTGCGAAATTATTTAAATTAATTACCTTAAGTGCGGCGTCCGGCAATCATCAAAAGCGTTCTTTCCGTCTTTAATTATAGAGCACCTTTCTTTAATTGCCGGAGAGCAAACAAAACAAATAAATTGGGGACATTTGTGGCTGGGGAAACTTTTGCATAAGGTATCTACAAATGTGTTTTGTTTTTAAACAAAGGGATATTCTTAATAGTCTTGAAATGAACTATGCGTTTTGGTCGACAAATAAGCATTAACACATATAAAATTGCTCCTTAAATCTTTTATTTACTTTCATTGAAATAATGTAAGCAAAAATGCATAAAAACAAAAACGGAGTAGTACTAAAGAAAAAATGTATAGTATTAAACAACTCCTCCCTATTTAATTAAATGATTGGATTGTCTTATTTGTTTACCAACCATATCAAGGCTTCAAAAGCTGATTTCAATTCGATTTAATTTTTTTTGTTTCTTTCCTAGAAGGATTCTATGGCTTTTTCAAGTCCGTAGGCTGTGCAGACCATCGAAACCCGCTTTTATAATAAAATTTACGACATTTAATTGGATCAGAAAAGAGCTGAGAACATATTCCACTGCTGGCGGGGCATTCCGGGTTTCTTAAGACTAGACGAAGTCGCGTGGCATTACGCCGCTGAAAATATGAGTCTTATATATTTAAATGCATTCGGGTTCGAATCGCATTCACTGCGTGACTGGGCTAATTAGTAGCCATGCACTCTCTCTTCCTTTTTTTCACCAGATATACAGATAAACCATTGCGTCAAAAAAATAGCACTAAACATTTTGGTTGATTTTTCTTTTTGCATTTGTAGGCATAAATAGAAGTAAAAACTTCTTTCTATTGTTCATTATATTAATTGTTTCGAAACTATAATTACTATAATTGTTTTATGATTATTTATTTTTAAAAATGTAAATAAAATTTAGAAATTGTATATATCAGAAATAAAATTCTGCAATAGTAATCAGCTTAGAGTCTATTGCATAAACATATGGCAGAGACCATAGCTTATAGATGTGTTTCTAAAATCATGCTTAAATGGCATAAGAGCTCCTATTATTTCAGCCACAACTGTATTTAGCATGTGATCGCGCCTGTCGAAATTTACTTTTGATTTCATATGTATTTCATCAAATTGCCGCTGCGCACGCGCATGCCAAAAGGCAGCGACTCGAAGGTGGAGATAAGAGACCTTGGTTTGATTTGAAAATTACTCGAAAAACAAAAAAGCACGGCCAGCAGCAGCGGGGAAAAAGCAAAAAAGCAAAAAATAAAAATAAAAAAGGATATATAAACTGCAAAACAGCAAAAACGGGTTGCAGCCGATGCCAATTAAATGTGGTCCAGTCCACATCGAGATCCCCGATCCTCAGACTTCGTTGTCATTGCCGCCGCGGTTTACTTCAAATGGGAGACGCGCGCGTCCAGCGCCAAAATGGCAATCTTTTTGAAATTTATGATGAAAAAATGAACACTGTCGCTTTTTTGAACATTTTAATTATACACACAGACAGACGCGAGATATATTTTTGGATGTGAAGAGGAGATTTTCGGGAGATACCACTATGTTCAGCGGCGCCCCAAAATAACTGGTAGCCAAATACACTCTCAGAAAATGTGTTTACTTACGGAGCTGAGATGGAAACTATTTGGAATTGTATCTACTAGAAGTTGAG